TAAGATTCTTTGAGATGTGAAAATTGGATCACGGTTATAAACGTATGTCAAGAAACAATGAGGTAATGTTAATTAAAACAATGAGGTAATGTTAATTAATGTATACAAATTTATTAATGCAAAAAACTCTATACATTACAATATCATTCCACCGATAGTGGTTTTGCTGTAACACAATGGTCTTTTCCATACATGTTGACACTTACCGATGCTTACGCTCAACATAAACAGCTTGTGTTGAAAATATGTTGTGTAACACAGATATGGATATAACACCCAGCATTCGAAGTTATTAAATCATGCAAATTCATGTGAATACTGTCACTTATGACCAAATAGAAGGCGAGAAGACCTAGAGTTCACTAACATGACATGGGAAACAGACATCGATGGGGAAAGAGTAAAGAAAACACCACACAAGCATTACAATCACACCCGACATTACAAAAAGAATACTGCTGTTATGTTCTTTGCAAAATCAAAGAACATAACTCAATCTCCATACTGCTACAACTAATTGCCGTTTTCTGTTTTTGGCCTGGCTTCATAGTCAAAAACTTTGTGGTTTATATGTGTACTCACTGCGATGTGACGATACCAGGGCCACTATCACTAAGAGCTAACTAATGTGCCAGTGACATTCTGTAGATAATCTCTTCACTAGCATTTGGTAACCATTGAGCTGTTGCTAATCAATATTTATAATTGTGGAAAATGAAGATATGTTAAACAAATTTGGTATACACTGATGATGGACACATACTGTTTTTCTTAAAGAATCCCCGATTGTGAAGACAAACATGACGAATTGTGTGTCTGTGACACCTTGACTCATAATATAGCTAATCGATAGGTTTTGTTTTAAGTGTAACAGTTGTATGTATGTAACATAAAAACATCAAGTCTCACTTTTCATGTTGGTCCTATTATATGTCTTGTGACCTCTTCGTAGACAGACCTAAAATAATATCGGTTTAAATGTGTGTAATTTTCTTATGCTGTTCTTAAACAGCATTTTATTCTTAAACTTTAGCAATAGATCGGAAGAGAGGGCTTCTGTATCTGTTTTAAATGGCTCATGTTGTATTTACTTTTTTTTTTTTTTTTTTTTTTTACAATTTGACCTCTAGAATTTGCTTTTGTGCAATTTTATCTGCAGGATTTACCAAAGTGTGGAACTTTGTTTAACAACCTCATGCTTTAATGAATACGCATCTCTCAGGGCAATAGTCAAATGTGACTCTGCCGTATGGTTTTAAGTGTAAAACAGCATATATAGACCACATCATAGATAGATGGGGGAAGTTGACCTAAACAAAGTATCAGCTTAGTCAAATATTCTCAAACAGAAAGACTATTACTTAAATGAATTGTCATTTATTCCTATAAAACGCAGAATGTTGACAGCTCTTTAAGAAAAGTCTTCACCTAAAAACATACAGTCCTACATACATACATACTGTGAAACAGTATCATCTGCTGTCTGAACAAGATGACTAAATCTATCGGCGTAATAGAACCGTCATTTGCACACTTATGTGTGTTTATTATAAACAGCTTTTCAACCCTCTTATACCCCGTACACACGGTTGAAGTAAATTTACCTCTTGTATTTCCTTTTGTGCAAACATAAATCCTGTATAACGATTGTTTGAATTTTACTCTTAGTCTTTACAAGGACCTGTAACTTTATTGTTCTTAATGTGTTTGCATTACAATACTGTGGCATATAGTTCCTCTAACAAATCTGTCAGAAGAGCAAAAAAAAAAAAAATTACGAAGATTTATAGCACATATAGTAACTTTATTTGAGTCAAAGAAGATGATGATACCAATTAAAAACAAACTAATCTTTAATGCTAAGCGGGACGTTGAGCAACTTAATATACTATTAAGTATAATATAATATGAAATACTGGTTTTGTCAAAAGGAGAAAGTTCAGTCATTTATAAAAAAAAAAAAAAAAAAAAAAAAGCCTCTTAAATGTAAGCCATGCGTTCATCACACATGTTTTCCCATGTGCGGAACAGCATAAACTTACATCGTTTCTGTCTTCACCTAAAACAAAAACAAAAAAAGAAAGAAATGTGAACAGTGTCATCTCTACAAGATGACTATGTCTAGTGGTGCGATTAAAAAAGCCTTTGCAAAACCATATTTACAAAACATGAAACAAAAGTACAAATTGCTCAACATTTGAGTTTTCTATGTATGCATCATAAACAATGTCTGTATGGCGTAATTTATTTTCTTAGTGATTTGGGGTCTTGAATTTACATGGTGATTTATGCACACTTCATTACTTCTTTTCATTTTGCCAGAGTGTGGAACATTATTTACCATTATTAAAGTTGATGAAATGAATCAATGTATAGCTCTCAGTGCAATAGTCAGATGCGATTCAGTTGTAACAGATTAAGTGTAAAACTTAAACTAAAAGCATAACTTATTTTTCGTGTTGATGCTTTGTGTAAACTGAAATTATAGATAGCTGTAAAGTTGCATTGCAAGAAATATCAATTTAGTCAAACACTCTGAAGCAGAAATACTATCACTTAAATTCTTAATTTACATTTATTCCTATAAACACTGAATGTTGACAGTTCTCAAAGAAGAGTCCAACAAACAAAATATTTTTACAAAATATCTGAATAAGACGAATAACACTAGTGGAGTGATAAAAACACTACTTACAAAACAAAATGTACCAACTTTCACATTTGTTCACAAATGGATTTTGTGTATTTATTATAAATCTTGCTTTTCAATGTATGCTGTGCCCTCTTTTCTTACTGATTTGGTCTTTTGAATCTTACAGATGTTTTTGGACACACATACAGTAACTATATAAAGATTATGTTTGAAAGTTATTCAAGAGTGTGAAAACTTTGTATCACTGCGGTGTGAAATACCCCCTGTCAAAATATGTTAGCGTGTAAAAATACGCACAAAGAGTTTAGCAGTACTATTTACACACACACACACACACACACACACACACACACACACACACACACACACACACACACACACACACACACACACACACACACACACACATTTTTGGAGGATGTGTAATAGAGCTCATCTCTTTAATTTTGTGCTGGATGTTTAAAGTGCTAGTGACTTCTATGATGTTTTGTAGCATAAAGATTTATCTGGATCACTCAACAAAGTTTTGTTTTCTGACCTCACAGAGATTACACTAAGATTTGATTTCTTGACTTTTGCTTGTTTGCACTGTGCCCCCGGATCTTAGGAATCAATGTGTGGTTGTGTAACAGGTATAATTTGAAATGTAGGTTTGTCAAAAGAAAAAGGTTCAGTCATACATTTTCTAGTGAAAATTGTGTTTTACTCGTGTGAGTAAACTGCTCGGCTACAGTTCTAATACCAGTTGCTGGTTATCAGTCTGTTTTAAAGAATACAATAAAGTAAAAGTTTTATTTAAAGAAAATAGACAACTTTCCTTGCTTTTTGTGGCAAACAAATGTATAAATGTCTGAACATTTAAAATCTCTTAGTTTGAAGTAAAATATGTAAATCTGTTGTTGTTTTGCAACACACACACACACACACACACACACACACACATACACTATGGGTTGGGGTAAAAACTAAAACATTTTCTTTAAAAAATACTAAAATAACAAAAGTAACGACCAAATTGATATACACTAAAAATGTTTTTTGTGTGCGAGCCCAGAGAATCACTAGAAAGCTTTTGATGAAGTGTCATTCTTTAAACATCCAGCCTAAGCAACTGTCGTAAAACCATTAACAAACCCATTTAGGTTGCACTCTTCCCCCACCAGTTCCACTTGTAAACACCTTAACTGTGATTTTAGAAAAATGTTTTGATTCTTTGTCTTAGGTAACATAAACCTATAGTTCAGGTACTACATCCTACTGTGGCACACACACACACACGCACACACACACACGTAGGGCTAATGGTATTCCTGAATGCCTTGACTCAAATGTTTTGACTCAATTAACATATAGGCTACCCTACAACAAAGGTTTTCAACACTCAGGGTGCCACCATTACGTGATACCTGCTTGGGTGAATTTCACCCCCAACAATCAAAGGAAAATACAATCAGCAACAGTTTCCCCCCAGCTGACTGGAAGGAGCCCAGATTTTTGTTGACACATGGAGTCTCTGTCAATCATGAGTGACAAGGGGTGCCTAAATCTACCAAAAGATGGTCATAAAATCAAACAAAAGGTTTTTGTCTTTTAAAAGTTTCCCGGATCTCACCAAAGGAGGATGTCACACGGCTCCAAACTTCCTAGACATACAGGAGCCTGTCAGCTACCACCGTAAATCAGAAACACTGTTTTCTTGATGCAAGAACACTACGACAGTCATGACTGACACATGTCAGTCATGAGTGACAGGCACACAACTCTGTACCAACATAGGGCCATAAATCAAGTCATAAAACACCTTTTTTGACACATGGTTTATGTTAATACTACTATCCTGAAAAGAATATAAAATAGAAAATTATGTCATATGGAGGATCCCTGCAGACCCCGACTGTTTAGACCCAAAAAATAAAAATATTTATAAATAAATAATTAATCAATATTTATAAAAAAATAACTAAATATATATATATATCTGTGTGTGTGTCTGTGATTTCTGAAGGATTATGTGACACTGAAGACTGGAGTAATGCTGAGAATTCAGCTTTGCCATCACCAGAAATTATTTCAATCATTTAAAACTTATTTTTCAAAAATGTTTTACTAAGAGTTATCTTTCTTTATGCTAAATACTTGGTTTTATTTTATGTTATCTAACACAATTATATTAATAAATTTGAGGATTAGAATATGTTTGAGGGTCAATGTATATTCACTACTGATCTTGATCAGTTTACTTCTGACTTATTCATGAAAGTAAATAGAAAAGTTGAACCTCTTATCAGGATAAGTTATTACAAAGTTTTAGCATCAAATGTAAAGTCAGATGAGAAGTCAGACACACCTCACAGAAGATGACGAGGTCATGCTTTTCTTTTGCAATGTCTTCATCATTCTTAACTCCAGGTAGGGTGTGGGAACGGATTCCAGTATGCCTCAGTCTCTCAACAACTTCAGCAAACAGAGTGTTTTTGTTGAGTGCAGGTCTCGGGGAGAAAGTTTGCCTGCACTGTGGACAGCTGCACAACTTCCTCTGGTTCTTCTGCTCCCAGAAGATCTTAATGCACTCCATGCAGTAGTTATGTCCACAAGGAATGGTTACGGGGTCTCGCAGGAGTTCCATACAGATGGGACAGCTGAACTGCTCCTGGTTGACAAAAATACCAGCCTCTTCTTCTGCCATAGTTAAAGTAAAAGACACAGACTGTCCACAGCAGCTTTGTGTGTGGAGAGAGTATGGCGTTTGCTTCAAGTGCCTCCCACTCGTAGTGACTGTATGGGGTTGTAATGGGAGGAGTTCATTGTGTAATGTGTCACTGTGTGGCCATGTTTCAGAGAAGTCACAGGCTTTATTAAGTCCCTATTAGATCATTGTTGTTGTTGTTTTGAAAATAATATTGTCATCTTTACTTCAAAAAGCACCGATTCACAGCTTTCAGTAGCTACACAAGCAAAGATTCTGGAAAGATGATCCAGGGATCATGGTGGTTCCAATGCATGTCTGTTCATGTCCACTGATGAATGAGTGCACAATGACTATGTCTTACAAGATGTTTTCTGGTTTATGTTTGCACTATTTATAGGACAAAATAAGGGTGTGTGGATATTTGATAAGTATGCACAGGGTGTGTAGTCTATCTATCTATCTATCTATCTATCTATCTATCTATCTATCTATCTATCTATCTATCTATCGGCATTTCTTTTTTTAATCAGATTTAAGTGTTGAAAAAAAAAAAGTCAAACCATTTTGAATGCAGAAAAAAAATAGTAATTTGTGAATTATAAGGAATACATAATAGAAATGGATAACAGATAGGCACTGTGGGGATTATACACATCTCGTACAACCAAAATTTAAATATTAAATTCACTTTAACATACCGGGCTATCGATGAAATCACCGTCTTTATATTTCAAGCTTCTTTGTGACTGACAGTAATATTATTCCACACTAGAGGCCGCTCTCGTCGTCACAGTCACAACCCATCGTCGTCACTACCGGTGAGTTTTTGACAGAGGCCGCGTCAAGCCGCACCGTGAATACAAAATAAAAGTAAAAAAAAACCCTGTCAATTTCAAAATAAACACCATAATATAATGCAGACTCCCAATTGTATTGCACACCAATATATCCTTGGTAGAGAAACCATCAATAGTAAGGAGTAACATATATCGTCGCGTGGTTCGAGTTGTGCGTGCAGTTCTGTAAAGCCGATGGCAGCTCACCCGTCTTCCTTTGGCTCATAACAGAAACTGAGTGGATGTAAGTTAACAACAAATACAGATTTCATACAATCTGTGTGACAGAAGGCAGCGCAACATACGCAGGTAAGCCTTTCCCTTCACTCTGTTAGACGAGAGCTGTGTGTTTATGTGGCAAAGTATCAGCAGTTACTGCTGCTTTGTTGATGTTTGACCCATCAAGTGTTTGTCAAGCTACAAATGAGTTAAACCTTCTTATACTTCAACTATTTTGCACTTAAACTTGCAACAGCTCCTCTGCTGAGCTGTGATCACTTTTATAAGGTCCTTCAAGGTCCACAGATGTTTATTAAAGTTTGACCCATTGCACCACCAGAGTTCTGTTCATCAAAATTTTAATTGACAATTTTAATTGACACATAAAGTGATAATTTTGACAATTTTTGTAGTTTATAAGATACATGAAAATTATGGCATAGTCATACTTATGACGTCATAATTATGACTTCATAATATTAAGTCATAATAAGATTACAAAGTCAATTATCAGATTAAAAGTCATAATTATGACTGTCACAATTATGACTTTCTGTCACAATTATGACTTAGCATGTCATCATTTAGACTGTCATCATTTTTAATTAGTATGTAAATTTCGACTTTTTAGTGCTGTCAAATCGATTAATCGTGATTAATAATCACACCTTACATAAAAGTTTTTAATAATTTAAGTTTTAATAATTTATTTACAAACTTTTATGTTAGATGTGATTAATCGTGATTAATCGATTTGACAGCACTACATTTTTATTCTCATAATTATGATTTTTTTTTCTTATGTGGCACAAATGGCCTTTCATAGCCATGAGTCTCGTGCACGAGAGTATCATTAAAGCAGTATCATACCAGATAATCAAAAGTATTCTCAGGTCAAGCTCAGGCACTTTATTATTGATTATAACTTATAGATTCTAGAACATATAAATTATTTTTATTAACTATAATTGATTATTTACACATTGTCAAGAACATGAACAGGATGCCTTACCTTAACATTTTGTATGAAGAATTTCATTCAGACTTGAAATTAAAGCTTGCATTGGTTTGAATGTCAATTTTAAGTTAATTTTGAAGTCATCAACATTTTAAAAGTTATTTTTATTTATTTATTTAAGTTTGGGTTTATGTAATTAAAATCAAATCAATACTATTATGTTTGTTGTTGTTTCACATCAAAAATACTTCACCTAAAGGATGATGTCATAACATAAAAATAAAGTGATGGAAGTAAAATTCACAATAAAAGAAAACAAACTATGATTTCTATTGTTTTCTTTATTATTGTTTTCAATATGAGTTTTACATTTTTATCCAATATCAATAGTTTTATGCTCAGTTGTTTCCTTTATGGTCTTTAATGTAATTAATTGAATTTATTAAAACTTTAACTTTTTAATCAAAATGTAATCAAATGAAAATTTAACAAGAGGATATTCGGGTTTTTAATATAGTACATGCATACGTACACACCCACGTGTGTGTGTATATATATTTATATATATATATATATATATATAATATATATATAGTAATATATAGTTATATATTTTGGTCATAATTTCTTTAAACCAAACCTTCTATTTTGGGCCGTACTGAGAGGCCTTAATAAAAAAATTCACTTTGTGAGAATATGAATGGAAGAAAGATATCATTCCAGAATTTCCCAACCTGTAAAACTAGTTTTAGGACACGCCTCCTTTTCTAGTAAGCGAACAGCTTCTTACAGAAAGAGGAAGTGCTGCAATCTCATTCTCTCATTCTGTGTATCATGTCTACTAGGGATGTAACGATTCACTCGCAACCGGTTGAAAATCGATAAAAATGTGTGACGATTCAAGTCGGTTGAAATGTTAAACGAATCGCGATACACGTTTTAAACAGCAGGGCGCGTTTACTATAGCCTACTGTGAAGTTGTGAACCTCGCTTTACAATAGCACAATAGCAGCGAGCACACACTGGCGTGAAGCTAGCGAGTGTTTTCACTTCATTCATGGAACTTGATCTTGTGTGAGCCAAGCTCAACTTCCATAGGAATGAACTGAAAACGCTCGGTTTGCTCCGCTCGCGCCGCACCAGTGTGTGCCATAGACTGGTGTGCACGTGCCGTCAAACAGTAGACATGGCTTTGGCGACGGCAAGCGTAGATGTTGACGTTGACTCATTCAAATCGGAGGTGTGGCGGCATTTTGACTTTCCGTAGACTAATAATAATCACCACCGTGAGTAACACCAGTCACCTCCGTTTTCATGTAAAAGTCATTAATACTACAATTGCGAGAGCCACGGAGATCACAAGGTGCATCAGTGTTTCCGTGGCAACCAGGTGTTGTATTTATTTTACTATCTCTTTCTCTAAATGTGTTTTTTTTTTACTCTTACTAGTGTAATGATACAAATTATAACAAAATTAGAATCTTGCCTTTATTACAATGTAAAACCCCTGTCAATCTGGTACTACTAATTTTACACAGTCTTTTACATAGTGTGCGAAGGTACCAGTGTCCAGCCTCTTGACCAAACAGACAGAAAGACTGAGTTGAAACAACCTTGAAGGGAATTTTTTTAATGTAGTTTTATTATTTGAGAAATATATTTTAAATTAAAAAGAAATGTGCAGCATTTTGTCTGAGAAATAATAAAAGGGACACTTTTGTCTTAAATCGCATTTGTTAAAAAAATCGTGAGAAAATCGTATCGTGAAACCAGTATCGTGAATCGTATCGCATCGTGAGATGAGTGAATCGTTACATCCCTAATGTCTACTGGTGAGTACATTGCATATTGGGGTATTTTATAGGTATGCTTTTTGATTTTCTAGCTGTGCAGCGTGGCATTTAACCCTCAATGATTGTGCGGCAGTTGGTGTGTAGGGGTTTGACCTCTCACCTGTGTGCGGCAGTCAGACTGAACTGGAGATCTCCAAAGATGGCTAGACCAAGCTCAAGTAGGACACAAGCACTTTGAGGAGAATGCTGAAAAGATTTCTGGGGATGTTGTGTTAATGCCTGTGAACTAAATGATTTGCAACAAAATTTATTTGTATTTATTTGCAGATTTAACAAAATTTCGTGAGGAGTTTGATAAAGCAAAGCACATTGCTATCATAACGGGGGCTGGAGTGAGTGCAGAGAGTGGCGTACCAACCTTTAGAGGACAGGGGGGCTACTGGAGGAAATGGCAGGCACAGGTAACACACACACACACACACACACGTTGGGTTCCCATGTTTGTTGGGGACTCCATAGACATAATGATTTTATACTGTACAAACTGTATATTATATCACCTTACACTAAGCCTAGCCCCAAACCTATACCCATCACTGAAAACTTTCTGCATTTTTACATTTTCAAAGAAAATCCCTTAGTATGATTTATAAGCTGTTTTCCTCATGGGGATCCATCAGGATTTTGGATATTTGCATCTTTGTGGGGATCATTTTGTCCCTATACCATAGGGATTACCAGGACCACATGCACACACACACACACACAATGTTTGCAATGTGTATCTGTAGACAATATAGAACAAAAAGAAGATTAAAATAGTTCCTGTAGTAGCAAGCTGTTTTAGCATATATTAACAAAATATGACATATACCAAGGTAAAAATTCCATTTATACTGTGAGAGTGATATATTAAATGTAATAATATTTAGATAACTAAATCAAAAAGTTTCCATAATTAAATAATAATAAATAAAAATCATTATATAAAAAAATGGTTAAAATATAATCTAAAAAATATATATTTGTAAATGTTTTAAAAGATTTTAGAAAACAAATTATCAGAAAGCAGAATGAAAAATGATTACATTTAGTGAATGTAAAAAATAATTCTATGTATAGTTCTATACATATTTCAGAAATATAAGTGCACACTAACTTTGAAGGCCCTAAAAAGACATTTTCCAATAAATATTATTCATAATAATCTGTATATGTGCCTGAGGCTTGAGTAACAGCGTGAGTACAAGGAGTAACCAAGCTCTATTTCACAACATAAATAAGCCTAAATGCACTTCTCAATGAAGAGATTGGTTGAAGCAGTGGAAAAGTTGCAGTGGTAGGGTACCCCTGTATATTCAACTGCATGTCTTTTCTTCAATTTATGTTTCAGTATTATATACAAATGGGCCTGTAAAAGATAGTTTACATGTTGCATTGTAAATAATGACTGTAAACTTTTAACGTCTATTTGACAGTTCTAACCAAATCTGTCAGGCTTCCTATAACATAGCACATAAACAGTTACCTACTGTAGTCACAACACATGTACGCAAGTAGAAAAAATTGGGGAGATGGAATGTGTAACTGTTTTTTTATTTTTTCTTCTGGTTTTCCTTTAAAAGGACCATCTCTTGGTCTTTAACCTCTCGTTGTCTTTCAGGATTTGGCAACCCCTGAAGCTTTCTCTCGAGATCCTTCTTTAGTCTGGGAATTTTACCATTACAGGCGTGAGGTGGGTCACACATTACTGACTAAATGGCTACCAATATCATACACTTTAGTAATTATACATTTGATAATGTGGTAAAATTGAAATACCTGGATTATGTTAATTATTAAATGAGACTGTTTTGCATGCTTAGAATTGCAGTGAGGAATCTAAAAGATCCAGGAATGGCGGTGTTTATTTCTGGGCCTGAAATTCAAACAGCATCCACATGGGGGTGGAATTACTACTAGAATAGTAGATCAGTTATGATTTGCAAAAAAAAAAGAAGGCATTATTAGTGTTTTCACCACACCAAAATTCAGTTGTAGGTACCAGTACCAGTAAAACATCATCTGCTTAACTTGTAAGTTTAAATATTAATACAAATTAATTTATTTATTTTTATACTACGGGGCTGTAGTATACAAATGCTTGATTCTGATTGGTTGACGTGCGTTCTAAGGTGGGCAATTATTTTCAGGGCTAAAGTAGTTCCAGACAGGCCTTGACCGCACAGTTCCATATCACTTCGCCAAATGATTTCAGTTATTTCAAAGGTCCTTACAGACTACTGTTAGCCTGGTAATACCAGACTCTGCTACTTCACTTTGCTTCGTACACAGAGTCTGGGATAGCATAATAGAGAAGTGTTTTCTCTCTCGCTAGGGGGCGCGTACTGAAGTTTAAATTCATTGGTTACCCGTAAGCCAATCAGATAAGTTTGTTTATGACGTATGTTATGCGCCGACACAGCCGCATCGAACCACAGACATCATGCATCGAACTCAAATCTATGATCGAACTTCCACTGTAAACACAAACACTTGATGATGCGAGCGAAATACCCGAGTGAACATGGCTGTAAACGACTTTTTTGATCTGTGAGTGATGTAATAGAATGACTGCTGCGCTTGACAGGGCACAAACGAGCAGAGAGAGAGAGAGAGAGAGAGAGAGAGAGAGAGAGAGAGAGAGAGAGAGAGAGAGAGAGAGAGAGAGAGAGAGAGAGAGAGAGAGAGAGAGAGAGAGAGAGAGAGAGAGAGAGAGAGAGAGAGAGAGAGAGAGAGAGAGAGAGAGAGAGAGAGAGAGAGAGAGAGAGAGAGAGAGAGAGAGAGAACTCCCACGTCTACAAACAACACGACAGCTGTCTTGCTCTCTCTCCCTCGCGCATATTCATAAAAATCAATCGACAAGATAGTAAGAGGTCGGAAGACCGCGGTTTCACGTGGAGCATTTGGAGATTTTTAGAGATTATAGACTCTAGGAACAACATCTCAATGAACAACATCTCAACTATAAAGGCCTGTCTCATATAAGTTAGACGCCTATCTCAAGTACAAGCCGGTGCAGTTCGACGATTTGGGCAAATAAAAGCCCGGGCTATTATTTGAAGTTTTACGGTATTTAAGACCTGGAAAGACACTGACCTGTCAAAAGGCTCCCCAGTTTCTCGCTGCCAATCGGTAATAGTTGATAAATTAAACTTTTCCCAAAGGGAGTAGGGCCACAACATCACCTCCATTCAAAATGTTTAATACACACTCTTCGTGTTCGGGCTTCAGTTTGCTAATGCCGGGAATATTCTCCACAACAGAGCGAATTGCATCCGCGTCTCCATATCAGCGGTCGTTTTCGATTTCCCTGACATAATCTTAAACACGGCGCTTACCGACTACGTCACGGCTTTCAGCCCGCCCTCTGTTCGTTGATTGGCCAGGCTGTTTTCAGGCCGGTGGAAAACAGAAAGATAGGCTGCTATCTCAGACTGACTACAGGAGCGAAATGAAATTAGCGGAAGTAGGAAGTCTGACGTAGTCAGGCTAGACTACTGTAGCAAAAGAACCAAAACCCACAACGACACTGACCAAGCAAAGAAATATAGTACACAATAGGATAAAAAGGACAACATATTTCCCTGTTTTTCTGCAACAAAATTACGTTTTATTATGTACGGAAAGCACATACTCTTTCTCCAGCTCTCTCACACTCAAATGCACACACACACACACACTAGCGAGATAATAACGGTGCTGTACTTGGAGCAGATAAACTTACAGTTTCGCTATTAGTAGAGACGCTGCTGCAGAACACTGTTGAGGGACGCACAGATTCAGGTAATTCATAGTATACATGCTTGATAACTCTCTCTCTCTCTCTCTCTCTCTAAGTGCATAAATAACTGCATTAGATTGCTATCAGTGGCTGAAGCGTCTGTTACTAGCTCTAAAAAGACGTTTTGGAATTAGCAACGGAGGCTTGGGATTAGATGCGTAAGAAATTAGTCCTACACATAAAAGCGTTTTAATTACAAAAACCTGACAAACATCTTGACATACATCATCTGAACAATGTTTTGAGGTGTGGTAACCGCAGTATAAGCGGAATAATTGCAATAAGTTTCTAATAATTCAATGGCCCGTCGTCAATTATCCCTTACATATCATAATACAGCAACTTTTTTTATGTATATAATAAAATTCAAAATCTCAAGTCATTAAGTACCTGTAGATATTTACACACTGGAGCTGCAATTAAATTGCTAATAATAATTATCATTAAATAAAAGTTAGTGTTTGGTTGCATGCTAATATATGCAGGTAATGCGCAGTAAGATGCCGAACCCAGCACACCTGGCTATAGCGGAGTGTGAGTCCCGTCTCAGCCAGCAGGGGCGCTCTGTTGTGATCATCACTCAGAACATCGATGAACTGCACCATCGCGCTGGTTCCAAACACGTCTATGAGATCCACGGTGAGACAACGGCCATTATAGTACATTTATTTGTGGCTAAAATCTGATTAACAGAACTGAAAATGATTGGTCATCCATTTGGAGGGTGTCCCATCTTTCTTTCCATACTAGCAATCCTTCTAATTTTGGTTCTTCTCTTCAACTGATATCTCTCTCTTTTGTCTATCTCTCTCTAGGTAGTCTATTTAAAACTCGCTGCATGAGCTGTGGAGAAGTGAAAGCCGACCACAAGAGTCCAATCTGTCCTGCTCTGGAGGGGAAAGGGTAGAGCTCACGCAAACACACCACTATTATTTGATCAAATATTTAAACCACAAGAGACTGCACTCTCCTTATATGCTCCTTATTGTCTTTCTTTTTCCAATCCTCAGAGAGCCTGACCCCAATGCCAAGGATGCCAGAATACCAGTTGAGGACCTGCCCAGGTTTGTGAGCGTGTTTGTTGTTAAAGATAGGGTTGGCGATTTCGGAGAGGCTAGCTTTAAAAGCATAAGATCCCACCCTCCCTTCAGAGCGTCTCCAAAGCCACGCCTCCTTCAAAACACATAAACGCATTTAGCGGAGTCTGCAAAGCTTCATGAGATGAGAGACGCCGTTAAACTACCTCGTGTCTCAAAGCACATAACATTAGAATAATAATGAACGTACGTAAGCAACTTAGAGCTTTGACTTGTACCACTTGACTGCTGCAGATTCATTTTTGGTGTTGACATAGAAACGCATAAATCTGAGTCTGAGGACGTGAACAGCTCCAATAGAACGTCACAGGTTGCCATTTTGTAATTACGGTGGGTTATGACATGGTGTGGACGTAGCATAAGATTGTTGTTTTGGTTCAGGAGGAACTGTAAATGGCGGCTGCTGTTTGTTTACGGCGCCCGGTGACTGTGCTTCTAAAACTCTGCATAGCCTCATGAAACGTGATGATGACGTGTGATGCTTGCGCGAGCAGGTGCACGGACGTATGGAGATACATATGTTGACAGTCAGGTAGGACATCGTATGGCTGGACAAACATATTTGGTCCTAAAACTTTCACAGAAGATATGTACATTAATGAAGATATGTTTTAATATTTAGATCCCTTATATTATTCATTGCTATCAGTATGTGAAGAGTTTCAAACAGTATAATAAAAACTGTTTATTGAAACAAATTGCCTAACCTACTTTTAAATGCAGATCAGTAGAGCGTGATGATGGGTCAGAAATTGCGCCACCTTGTAAAATGCAGCACTTTTGGGTAAATATGTAATATACACAGTTGTGTGGAAGTCTGCAAAACCTTTTGCATGGGTTTGTTCAGAATCAGATTTTGTAACCGTTTTTTTTTTTTTTAGAAACTGAGAATTACAATATTGTTTATTTTGGGGTTTTGAAAGAAAATAATACTTTTATCCAGCAAGGACAAATTAAACTGATCAAAAGTAACAGTAAAAACATTTAAATTTGTTATTTTTTTATTTTTTGTTAAAATGCTATTCTTTCTTCTATTTATTTATAAAAGAATCCTGAAAAACTGCATAGTGGTTTTCACAAAAACATAAAGCAACTGTTTTAAACATTGATGATAATAATAAGAAATATTTCTTCAGAACCAATATAATATATTCAAATATAAAACAGCCGTAATTGTTGTAATAATATTTCACATATACAAGTCTAGACTGCTTCCACTAAAAACTCTTCAGAACATCGCCCACTCCTGCCTACAAATCAGGAATTATGTCTTGTGCCGCAATAAATCTAATCAGATACTGGTGGAATGCAAACCTCCAGTTTTCTTTATTGTAAACATATTGTAAGGCTGTTTAATGTAGAGAAGGAGGGAGGGTAGTCATGTGATACAAAATTTGGACTGTTTTGATCCAAGAAACCTCGACAAACATTATAGACTTCAGGGGTAAATTTAAAAAAGATCTAAAGATCCCTGTAGAAATAATGTAATCAAGCTTTTGAGAATAGTAACACCTTTTTTCCAACAGTGGGCAGCAGATATCCATGTGTCATGTTTAAAGCTGTTAGTTTTGCACTTTTTGTTTGTAGGTGTGAAAAGAGGGGCTGTAATGGCTTGCTGAGGCCTCATGTGGTTTGGTTCGGAGAGACTTTAGATTCAGATATTCTCACCGCTGTGGAGGAGGAGCTGGAAAAGTGTGATCTCTGCTTAGTGGTGAGTGACCACACATGAATGCATAAAACTGCAGAAAATTACCTAGTGAACTGCATATCCAGATAGCATTTTTGGGCATCAAGACTGTGACAGAAGCTAAGCTGCAACATTATTCTGCCTTCTATAATACCTTTTTTCAAAGAAATCCAAAATTAGCATCACATCACATTTAGCTGACTGAAGTATCAGATTGTTAGCTTAGCAACGGGCTAGCATCAGACTCCACTGGAATTAATTAGTGGAGATCAGTTATAGTCAGAAATTACGTTAAGTAAAGTTTCATGAACTTCCAGTGAGTCATATGTTGATTCAGTTAACTTAATTCAGTGAAGGATTCATCAGACTGATTCAAATCAGTAAAATGAATCATTTAAAGAAGCTGCTCAAATGAGTCATTTGTTCGTGAATCGGACTTTGTTGAGTTTGTTTTTGCGTGCAGTCTTTTTATTTCCTCACATTCAATTCTGCAAGTTTTGCAAATCAAGACCGAAAAAAATACATTCACAAATCGGGTACATTTTGATTTTGGGTAAAATGTGTTTGTTTTTTTCATTGCAGGAAATACTGGCACAACCTCAATAGAAATCATGCTCATAAAATGATTACTGGTTAACATATTAGTTTATTGTTTATACCAGTTTATGGCCCACTTCTATTTGTGAGGTTAAAAGAAAAAAAATAAGTGTTATTTATTTATATAGTGGCTTTCCGTAGCTCAAGGTCACTTTACATTGTACATTACAATACATTTACAAACCCACAAACACATAAGGACACATATAGCCACATTATCCAAAATACATGATAAACAGATATGTTTTTAGCTGAGTCTTGAAGGTCGCCACAGATGAGATATTACAAAGTGTAGGGGGTTTAGTTAGAATGCCGCCTAAGAAGGTAGCGGCCTATTTAGGTTACAAGACAGCTCACTAGGTTTTAGTGTCTGCCTAAAACATTTACTACACAATCTCATCAATTCCAAACACAGATGTGTGTGTGTTTTGACAGCTTTACGTAAAGAATTTGTCATCTCCAACTGTATAATGTGTGCGTCACATTGTTTTCCTGTCTCCAGGTGGGCACCTCCTCCATAGTTTACCCAGCGGCCATGTTCGCTCCTCAGGTGGCGGGTAGAGGTGTGCCTGTAGCTGAATTCAACATGGAGTGCACACCTGCTACTAAGCGCTTTAAGTAAGACACACAAATACACAAACTATTTGTTTACATGAGTCATAGTCATGAGCCTCTTAGTCAGCCCTTTTAAGAGGAAAACGCATAGATGCTCTAGCGCACACAAGCTTTCACATGCGCACGGACTCTAAGTGATACATTTGAGCAAACAATGAACCATAGAAATTGAACACCTGTGTGTGGTTTATTTGAGATGTGTTTCTCACCAACAGATATCACTTTGAGGGTCCTTGTGGCACCACACTGCCTCCCGCCCTGGAACGGCACGAGAGCGAGGCCATTTAAGGAGAAAGAAGGCATGACCGATCCATTCGTTTAGCACTTTGACTTCTCAGTTCAATGGCACATGAACAGGGATTGGTTCATGCCTTCATGTGATTGGTTTTTTCCTATGGCTTATGTGCTCAGATATGAAGATTTACAGTAAAATTTGGCCGAAATTACATTTTAAATAATGTATTTGCTTGGCGTATGTGGCAACATTTTGTGAAAGTTGTGTTTTTGGCAGAGGATCTTAGTAGATTTGTTCCAGTTGAGTAACTTTCTGGGTAGATCATTTACAGTGTTCCCACAGTCATAGAAAACCTGGGAAAAAACCCCCAGATGATTTTATAATTACAATTTCCAGTCAAGGAAAAGACACGGAAATTGATAGTCTTGAAAACTTATGGAAAGTTCTATCATAAGTGAATTTTTGACATGATCCGCTGTAAAATATTGAATCATCTAGAAATAACTGGTTGGAAAAATCATGGAAATTCATTGTTTCAAATTTTGTGAGAACCCTGAAAATAGGACTAGAGACCAGTGAAATGTATTTATTTAAAATTAAATGACCATAAAATAAAGTGTTCAATGGCACATGAGGCTGAAGATTGATTATCCTTTAAATTATTTGGTTTGAGTTAGTTTTTCCAGATAATAATTGTGATTGAGATTTAAAATATGATAATAAAAAAAAAAGCTCTACACAGTTTGGTCAATTAAATGTATGATTATATATCAATATGAACCAATAGAAAAATAGATGCAAAATAGATTCATCAAGAGAGTTAGTGAATTTAATTTAAGAGGAACTGAAGTCTTTCAGAAACCCGAGTTTAGAACAAAATTAAAGGAAAGATGTGTCTCAACACAAGGTGTCAGTCTGTGGAACAATCTAAATAGTGAAATTAAAACTTCTATATCGTTTTTGGTTTTTAAGAAGAGTGTAAAAACATTACTAATAGGAAAATATAATGCATCTATTTAGCAGGAAAATGTGATATTTGATTTATGACTTTGCATACTGGTGCTGCAAAGTAGACGTGTGTTGTAAGCGTACCTTTTTGGAATTGTAATTTGACTTATGTTGATAAGGGGCAGATATTATAAGTTTATCTTCTTTTTGCTCCTTTTCAGTTCTTTTTCAAAAGAATGAAATAAATAAAATATGAATGAATGAATGAATGAATATGTCTATAATATAATAATTATATTAATATTTGAATTATGATTATTATTATTATTACTAAATAATCTACCAAATAAAGTTAATGTAGTATTGTAATATTTCAGTGTAGAATAAAAAAGAGTTTTGTAAAAAATAATATAATAATATTTCTATTTTACAGTACAAATATAAAAAAACACAATACTAACATTTAGTTTGGTGGAAAACGGCAGGAAGTGCAGCACAGATATTGAATTGAATCTGAGCCTTTAAGCTATAATTTTGATTAATCGTGCAGCTCTAGTTTTAGATTTTTATATGAAAGTATGAAATTTGTCAGAAATTAAATTTTAAATAGAGCTTTTTTTCCGCCGTAGGTGTGCTGTATGTTGCAGAAGGAGGATTTTTTTTTCTATGTCAAAGTCAATAGGCGAATTTGAGTGAGTCTGTGTTTGTTTGTGCGCACGTACCCTGTGGCATTGGGTCACCTTGATTCTGTCTAGTCCAATGCCAGATTCCATGATTTCCAGCTGGAAATCTCTCACTCATGCTCTCTCTCTCCATCTCTCTTTCATTGTTATTACTTGTACAACTAAGCAGCAGAAAAGCTACATTTTATTTTACACTTCCTAGTCTAAATAGGTTGTTCTGCTTACCTGTGTATACAAATTTCACGCTTGCATGTTTACACCGAACTGTGGAATAATTCTGAGAGAGTCGCTTGACTTATTTGACTTACAAATGTGCAACAGAATGGATGTTTGTGTATAAGAAATTGAATGTGTCTTCAGCTGCACTGTTTAAAATGCTTTTTTGTTGGTATTTATATGTGTGAGATTGGTGAGGGGTGGGGGGTACGTCTGTGTTTGTAAATGATAAATGAGTGTGTAGTTTTGAGGTGTGTGTAACCGACAGTGTGTGTGCATTTGGTCTCCTGGAGAGAGAGGCTCATTAGTTTCTGAGGCGATGAGAGAGGTCTGCTCCAAAAATAACACACACCATTTCCTGTCCATTAAACCACAATTTCACACCAATCTGAGCTTAACGACGTACGCGCGCGCGCATGCACAATAAATATCTCCCCCGACATACGCTTAGCCTCTAAAATCCTCTGAGATCCAAAACATCAATCCTACACACACATACACGCACGGTCCCATTAAATATCGATTTCACACCAATCTGAGCGTCTCCCTAGTCTGGGCTTGTTGGATGACAGGGATAGGGCGATGCAGGAGGATAGGGATGAAGTAATGGATAGGAGGACGATGCAAGTGGGAGAGACGTATGGTGTGATATGGATCTGGTTGTTTTTCTGCATATTAATTTAACTTTTTCATATTTTGCCTTTTTTTATTAGTTCCTGGATGATCTAGACACTTCGCACATCACTGAAAACTGGAAATAACAGGAAATTTAAAAATGATAATTGAAAGCTTGGTGTTGCCTAGGTCACTAGCAACCAAATGTTGCTCTTCAAAATGTTGGCAGTGAAGTATGTGTACCCTGATCTAAATTAATGTGATAGGGTTCCTCAATGGTAAATGGGAAGAGTACAGTAAGCAAGAACAGTTTCCACACATCCAGAAAACGGTGGTGTCCCCTTGGCACTTGTGCAGTCCACTTAGACACTGAAATGGATTTGCAGATATTTGTAAGCTGTGTCAAAGTCTTAATCCATATTTTGTCAGGAAATGTTGCCTAACTGAGTCTGAACCCCTGTTTTGGGGTTGTAGGTTCACTAAAAGCCATCTATAAAATCACCAAGTTGTTTTAAAATAGCATTAAAAAGAAATGGGCACCAACATCTCCTTTGATGCTACTAAGTAGGACATACAGGATCATGAGGTCCCAATTATGACTGCCAAGGCTCTGGTCCTTTACAATATTTTTAGAAGTTGCTTTGTGGGAAAGAATTAGTTCGGGATTGAGAGTGGCTTAATCAAGGAGAGCCATGGTATATTCATGACTCTGGGTATACTTTAATTGCAGACCATCTCAGTACACTGGAAGGGCACATTAATGAAGAGTAGTTCAACCAAGGGTCTACAAATTGTCTTACTGAAGCTTTTAGTCCTCTCCATTGGAATCAGTCCTTGCAGTCTGCAGCGTTGTAAGCATGTTTCTAGGCCTAGAAGTCATTCATATTAATAAATCCTTGGAAAGCCAAATGAAATCTTTATAGGTGAATATTAATTTTATTATTATTATCTACTCCAAAACATTTAATCAGCTAGAAATTCTGAGTGAACTAGTAGACTTGTGTGTGTGTGTGAGAGAAGTCTCTGTAACATGGTTTTAAATTTGGCAAGAAATCACAATTAACCGTTTATTTTCTTAATACATATTAATTATCTGGTTGTGATTGTTCCATCAATGCATTTTTTTTAAATGACCACGTAATCTTTAATAAAAATAACATAACTTACTGTAATTTGACAGAGTTCTCTGTTGACGTTTGCAAGGTCGCACTGTAGCCAGTTGCATTCAGATCTGTCTCCATTCTGATATGAAATGCTCACAATCAATCAATCTATGAAATCAAGTCCCACCCTACATTTTTTTTTCTAGTTCGATAATGCGTTTCACTTGGATATATACGTATCGGAAATTAAGCATTAAGTTGTCCTGTGAGGGCGTGGGAGTGTCAACTTCATCAATCTTCTTGGAATGAACCACCTACTGTTCTCACCATGCCTGAATACAGCTAAATATAAAATACCATTTTTAGTTTAAAGTTTACATTCCTGCCCTCATTTCAACTTGACAGAATGCAATGTTGTTCAAGGCAGGAGACAAATTATTAATACTTTCTCAGATTTCAAAGTGCAGATGTCAAAACTGATATCAGTTGGCTAATGTGTTCATAAAATCTAGTCTATTAAAGTCTTTAAATCTATTAAAGGCCCACTGAAGTGCCTTAAAACACGCATCATTATTCAATGCGTTGACATAGTTTCCACTGAAACAGGCAGGGCAGGGTGGGACATATCGAATAGCTCCTCCCATGTTTTAAAAAAGCCAATGGCGTTTCGTTTATATCAAAGCTCGGCCAGAGCCGCAGAGTTTCCTCCTAATCTTCAACCGTTACTATTCCTAATCTCAGTCCTCCTATTGCTTTAACATATAGAATTCTGTGCAGAATTCAAATGCGTTCGATGTGTTTTTTGGTTTGCGCCAACTAGCACATATGATCCTGCTCTGTGCTATCGTGTCTCTGGACCAGAACAGACAGTTCATGTGACACTAACGTAAAACCAGACTTCATTCGCTCCAATGGAAAGCATATTGACACTGTCTGAATCATTCCCTATCCCCTATATGGTGCACTATGTGCCATTCACCATGTAGAAAATAGTAAATGTGTGAACAAATGACCGATTTTAGCCGCAGCATCAGATAGATAGAGTCTTTATTGTCCCATAGGGATAATCATTTTCACACATCCTTTCCTTCTTCCATAGCACAGAAATATCACATATGAGGAAACACATATAACACATATCCAAATACATATCCAAATACATATACAAAACATACAACTCAAAAAGAGACCCAGATAACACATCAAATGTGAAAACCACAAAGCAACTGAAGTGCGGGGTATTACAGTTTGTTCAGCACTGTGATGGCGGTGGGGACAAAACTTTTTTTGAAATAGGCTTTAGTCCAGGTTAGTGCTCTGTATCTGCGACCGGATGGGAGTAGTATGAAGCATTTATTCAGGGGATGGTCTGTGTCAGCTGCTATTGCGCGTGCTAGGCGTGTGATGGCTGTGTCATTCATGTCTGACAGACTGGGTGTGGGGAGATTGATAATCTTAGAAGCAATATGTGTGATTTTAGTGAGTTTGTTTTTGCAAGTGACGGTTAACATTGTGTAGAAACAGGT